CAGCACTTTATGGTCTCCAGATATGAAGGGGCTTCGGAACTTCCTTTGGCTTCCCATCCGTCTTCTGAAACTGCACTGTGTGTAAATCAGGGGTGAAACTCAGCAGGTTCTGACAGGTTCTGGAGAACCGGTAGCAGAAATTTTGAGTAGTTCAGAGAACTGACGAATACCACCTCTAGCTGGCCCCAGAGTGGGTAGGGAATGGAGATTTTGCAGTATCCTTCTGAGGAGCTCCCCCAAAAAGAGGGAGTCAAGCTATTCTCCAAAGCACCTGAGGGAAGAACAAGAAGCAACGAGTGGAAACTAATGAAGGAGAGAAGCAACCTAGAACCAAGGAGGAATTTCCTGACAGAACAATGAACCAGAGGAACAACTTGCCTCCAGAAGTTGTGAATGTTCCAATGGTGGAAGTTTTAAAGAAGAGGTTGGATAACCATTTGTCTGAAATGATATAGAGCTTTCTGCCTAAGCAGGGAGTTGGACTAGAAGATCTACAAAGTGCCTTCCAACTCTGTTGTTCTAATCTAAGCTGTTCTCCTTGGCATTCATTGCCCCTACTGCCTGCCTCACAGAAAGGCACCATAAAATCCTAGGGCTGGAAGTCACCTCAGAGGTCTTCTAGTCCACCCCGTCCTCTGAGGTTTGTGCGATGAAGAGTTGTGAGAATTTTGTTCTCTAGACAGAAAAAATGAAGGAAGAAAAATGTTGTGCAATGTCCTGATGTTGGAATGATTGTGAGAATGGTGGGTTTCAGGAGGAGGAGGAGGAAGATGTAGAAGAAAGAGGAGGAGGAGGAGGAGGAAGAGACAACACTTTCAGGGATAAAGGATAAAGCAGAATTGTGGCTCAGAACTGTTGGGCTAGGTTCATCTGAGTAAAGTTGTGTGAGAGCAGGACTGGGGGAAAACATTTGGAAGAATCTCTCCTAAAACTCCTAAGTTTCCTCTCTTAACGTTTCCCTTTTATTTTTAATTCAAAATATTCCTGTTGGGCTCTTGGCTTCTTTGATCTACCTAGAGTTGCAGTTTTTGCCTTTGTTTTTTTTTCTTTGTGGCTTTTTTGTGGCTTCTCTATTCATTTCTACGCTTCAGCAAAATCGCTCCTTTTTTCCCCACAAGGATGGCAGTTTTCATGGGTAAATGTCACCACCGGAAAAACTTCCTTTGGGATCTGGTTTTCCCTGAGTGTTACTCAAGGTTCAAACTTGGCTTGTTTCAGTGCTCTGCTGAGACCAGAGTTTTTCCCCAGAGGTCTCATGGGCATTCCAGTGGTCACCGGTTTTGGTTCATATTTCTTTACATTTTGCTACTATAGTTCTTGTATGTTGCATGAACTACATCGTGTAAAATGGAGTCAGGTGCTGAGCCACATGGCAGTCTGTACATGCCTTCCCAAGTTTTTTGCAACCCCCCAAATTTTTTGCATTCTTTTGATCCATCCAGATCTAGAACCAAACAGTATCCGAGCACTGACAGAGAACAGCATCAGAAAAATATGAACTAACAGATTAACAGAGTTGGAAGGGACCATCTAGTCCAACCCCCTGCCCAAGCATTACACCATTTCTGACCAATGGCAGTCCAGTCCCTTCTTGAAAGCTTCCGGTGATGAAGCTCCCACAACCTCTGAAGGTAACTTCTGTTCCACTGGTTGATTGATCTCACAGCCCCTCAAGTATTGGAAGGCTGCTCTTCTGTCTCCCTTGGTCCTTCTCTTCACTAGACTAGCCATGCCCAGTTCCT